TATTTCCACACATCTCTTTATTTCTGGGCACACTTAATGAATTTGGGAAAAAATATTTTACTCAATACAAAAACCATTATTTTAGAAATACCCTATTCTTCATCCTTCCAACACTAATCCTAATCTCTAACCATAACTAGTCACTATCGCCATCTCTACTATAGTCGTCCCTGTAACTCATCGCCGTTGCCTCCTCCTTTTTCTTCCTTGACAAATCTCCTCTTTACTCCACTTGCCTCACCACCACCAGCCTCGCTTTCAAACCCTTTTCCATTCGCTTTTTCCTTTCACCATTGATGCTACCACCTCTCCACCATGGTCGCCTAAACCTTCCATCCTATCTCATTCTTCTTCTTTTTCTTATTTCCTTCCTCAACCTAGTAGAGTGGCCACCGATGGGCGAGGCAACAATCTCAAGGATCAAGAGCTTCTCGTCAAAGGCAACTGTGGCGGCCTGAAGATGATTGAAGCTTCGAATTGGTGATTGATGATGGTGTTTTCTGGTTTGCATGATTCGATTCCTGCAAACTCTACGACGACGATGATGATGAAGAGTATGTCCGGGTGAGATTGATGATGATGTCGGTGATGAAGGGTGCAATCATGATGGTGGAAATCACAATGGTAGAGGCCATCACAAGGTGATGCAGATGACGGAGAATAGTTAAGGTGGTCAAGAAAAAAGGACAGTGACGGTGTAGTGACTGGTTAGGGTTAAATGTTTTTTCGATGGTTTGAAAATTAAGATTTTAAATGTGAAAGATAAAGAGTATTTTGATATTTTTATTTTAGGATAAAAGTATAATTAATTTGTTTATATTAAATATGTGGAGTGAGAGGAATTTGTAGGTGGAAATAAAATATGCCGACAGTTTCGGTTAGTTTTACCCTATTCCAAACAGGTTTATGCGTATATTTTTAAACTTTGGGTAATGTGTATTAACCCAAAAAATTTTAAAAAAATTAAAAAAAGGTACGGAAAGTCTCGAGAGAGAGAGAGAGAGGGAGAGAGGGCTTTGCGGGTTTCTCTCTCTGTCGCCAAATTTTACAGAGCAAAAGAGACCAACAAGAAGAACAACAACAATGGAAGATCAAGAAAAGCAGACCAATTCCGTCATTAAGATGCGTGATCCTCCTACGGGACGCCCTGTTCGTGTCTACGCAGATGGGATTTACGATCTTTTCCATTTCGGCCACGCTCGTTCTCTCGAACAAGCCAAAAAATCGTAATCTTTACCTCAGTTTTATCGTTTCTTTTTTGCTTTAGTTGTTCAATTTGAATTCGGTTTTTCATTTTGAGTTCTATATCGCTTGCTCTCACACACCCAACAAATTTTCTGATCCTTGTACATGAATATATATGTTGATTTGTTTGTTAGTTGTATTTGGTTTCCATTTGATTTAAGATTTTTGTTATTTGATTCTTTTTTTAAAATCCCAATTTACTGGATTTGAAAGTTGTTTATTGATTTCTTAGTTTGATGCATAATAGGGTTTTTTTTTTTTTTTTCTTTTTTGGTGGCTTGAATGCAAAATTTGCTCCAATTTTACCTTGAAAAAGTAAGATGAGTACTTTCAAAATGCCAATAAATATCAAATAGTGTGAAGTGAAGAGTAAGCGTTTGGTTCTATATGGTTTGGTATGGGGCACTGGGGTTTGTTTGTGGTTCTTATAACTTTGATAGGAATGTAGAATTGGCCCGCGACTTGTGGGCTGCTTGAAGCCCGCCTACGGCCCGGGGTAGACTCGTTTATGTCCAGGCCCGAGCATGTCCGAGACCCTAGGCTAGGGCCTAAGCCATCACTTTGAAGCCTGGTCCGGCCCATCAGCCCGCTTAAGGCCCATTCAAGGCTCGATTCGAGGCCCAGTCCGCCTGAGACGCAATGTCTTTTTTGGTGGAAAATAATAAAATTTTGGTAGAAAAAATTAAAAAAATATGGCCAGGCCTGCCCAAGCCTGACCTAAGCTCGAGGCTAGGCCCAGGCCCACCGGCCCGACCCGAGGCTCGATCCATCAGCCTGTCCAAAGCCCGAATACCTTTGTGCCAAGGCTAGGGCCTGGGCCTAATTTTTTGGCCCGTAGGCCGGCCCGGATTTTTTCGGACACCCACGAGGCTCGATATGGGCCGGCCCGAGCCTCTACGCATTGATGATATGAACATTCACATTGACGATGTAAACATTCACATTATGGGTATTTTGGTAATTATGTCTCCCATAAGACTTATTGAAACATAAGAAAATAATATGGACTAAATAGAATATAAGTAGATGAAAATGGTATTTTGGTCTTCTTACCTCAAATAGGACTTAATGGAATAGTAAAAAAGAACGTAGACTGCCCGAAGCCCGTCCACTGCTCGGGGAAGGCTTGTTTGGGCCTGGGCTCGAGCCTAGTCCGAGACCCTAGGCTAGGGCCTGGGCCATCACTTTGAAGCCCGGCCCGGTTAAGGCCCATTCAAGGCTCGGTCCGAGGCTCGGCCCGCGCCGATACCTAGTGTCTTTTTTTTGTAAAAAATAATAAAATTTTGGTAGAAAAAATTAAAAAGAATTAAAAAAAAAAATAGCCAGGCCCGCCCAAGCCCGACCTAAGCTCAAGGCTAGGCCCAGGCCCACCAGACCGACCCGAAGCTCGATCCATCGGCCCGTCCAAAGCCCAAATACCCTTGTGCCAGGGCTAGGGCCTGGGCATAATTTTTTGGCTCGTTGGCCGGCCCGGGAAAGGCCCGTTTGGGCCCAGGCTCGTGCCTAGTCCGAGACCTTAGGCTAGGTCCTGGCCCATCACTTTGAAGCCTGGCCCGGCCTGGCCCATCGGCCCGGTTAAGGCCCATTCAAGGCTCGGTCCGAGGCCTAGTGTCTTTTTTTGCAGAAAATAATAAAATTTTAGTTGAAAAAATTATAAAGAATTAAAAAAAAAATGGCCAAGCCCGTCCCGGGTCGCCCACGAGCCGTGGGCGGGTTTCGAGCAGCCACGAGGCACGGGCTAATTTTACACTCCTATCAATGTGAATGTTAACATGTCAATGTGAATATTCACGTTATTAACAGGCTGGGCCGGGCCCGCCTCGGGCCGCGCCACGGGCCGTGGACAGGTTTTCGGGCAGCCACGGGGCGCGGGCTAATTTTACACTCCTATCAATGTAAATGTTAACATGTCAATGTAAGTATTCACATTGTCAACAGGTCAGGCCAGGCCCACCTCGGGCTGCGGGAGGGGGCTTTTGGCCGCCCATGAGTCGCGGACCAATTTTATACTCTTATCAATGTGAATGTTAACATGTCAATGTGAATATTCACATTGTCAACGGGGCGGACTGGGTCTGCCCGGGGCTACCCATGGGCTACCGACAGGTTTTGCGCTGCCACGGTACGCGGACCAATTTTACACTCTTATTAATGTGAATATTAACATGTCAATGTGAATATTCACATTGTCAACTGGTCGGGCCCGCCCCGGCTCACGTACAAGTTTTGGGCCGCCCACGGGCCAATTTTACATTCGTACCAATGTGAATTTTAAAATATGAATGTTCACCTCATAAAATTGCTAACCGTTCAAAAAATATTTATAAGGATATCAAAATCAAATATAAGGGCATAAGTGCCCAAGAAAATAGTGTAAATCAAGAAAAATGACTTTATGGAATAAAACTATACATACATGGGACTAAATGGGTTAAAAAATTCCTTCATGGACTTCTTGGGTTAAAACACTTCTAAATGAGATTTATCAATAAAAATAGAATATGTGGGTTCACTTATTAAAAAAAAAATGAGGGTATTACAATAATTTTGATCCCAAATTATATCCTCAACATTGTTCCACGCATTTGAATCCATGCTAAGCTACACGCACTGTTATCTATGATAGTTTCGGAAAATTCTATTTCCACACATCTCTTTATTTCTGGGCACACTTAACGAATTTGGGAAAAAATATTTTACTCAATACAAAAACCATTATTTTAGAAATACCCTATTCTTCATCCTTCCAACACGAATCCTAATCTCTAACCATAACTAGTCACTATCGCCATCTCTACTATAGTCGTCCCTGTAACTCATCGCCGTTGCCTCCTCCTTTTTCTTCCTTGACAAATCTCCTCTTTACTCCACTTGCCTCACCACCACCAGCCTCGCTTTCAAACCCTTTTCCATTCGCTTTTTCCTTTCACCATTGATGCTACCACCTCTCCACCATGGTCGCCTAAACCTTCCATCCTATCTCATTCTTCTTCTTTTTCTTATTTCCTTCCTCAACCTAGTAGAGTGGCCACCGATGGGCGAGGCAACAATCTCAAGGATCAAGAGCTTCTCGTCAAAGGCAACTGTGGCGGCCTGAAGATGATTGAAGCTTCGAATTGGTGATTGATGATGGTGTTTTCTGGTTTGCATGATTCGATTCCTGCAAACTCTACGACGACGATGATGATGAAGAGTATGTCCGGGTGAGATTGATGATGATGTCGGTGATGAAAGGTGCAATCATGATGGTGGAAATCGCAATGGTAGGGGCCATCACAAGGTGATACAGATGACGGAGAATAGTTAAGGTGGTCAAGAAAAAAGGACAGTGACGGTGTAGTGACTCACCAAGGATCCTCTAGAGTGAAATTTTTCTAAAGTTTCCTAGAGTGCTATATTGTGTGGTTGAGATTTACTGGCGAGTCACATCAGAAAAATTGATGTGACTTGCCAGTAAATCTCAACCATACACTGTAGCACTTTAGGAAACTTTAGGGAAAAATCACTCTAGAGGATCCTTGCTCGTAGTGACTGGTTAGGGTTAAATGTTTTTTGGATGGTTTGAAAATTAAGATTTTAAATGTGAAAGATAAAGAGTATTTTGATATTTTTATTTTAGGATAAAAGTATAATTAATTTGTTTATATTAAAATATGTGGAGTGAGAGGAATTTGTACGTGGAAATAAAATATGCCGACAGTTTCGGTTAGTTTTACCCTATTCCAAACAGGTTTATGCGTATATTTTTAAACTTTGGGTAATGTGTATTAACCCAAAAAATTTTAAAAAAATTAAAAAAAGGTACGGAAAGTCTCGAGAGAGAGAGAGAGAGGGAGAGAGGGCTTTGCGGGTTTCTCTCTCTGTCGCCAAATTTTACAGAGCAAAAGAGACCAACAAGAAGAACAACAACAATGGAAGATCAAGAAAAGCAGACCAATTCCGTCATTAAGATGCGTGATCCTCCTACGGGACGCCCTGTTCGTGTCTACGCAGATGGGATTTACGATCTTTTCCATTTCGGCCACGCTCGTTCTCTCGAACAAGCCAAAAAATCGTAATCTTTACCTCAGTTTTATCGTTTCTTTTTTGCTTTAGTTGTTCAATTTGAATTCGGTTTTTCATTTTGAGTTCTATATCGCTTGCTCTCACACACCCAACAAATTTTCTGATCCTTGTACATGAATATATATGTTGATTTGTTTGTTAGTTGTATTTGGTTTCCATTTGATTTAAGATTTTCGTTATTTGATTCTTTTTTTAAAAACCCAATTTACTGGATTTGAAAGTTGTTTATTGATTTCTTAGTTTGATGCATAATAGGGTTTTTTTTTTTTTTTTTTTTTTTTTTTGCTTGAATGCAAAATTTGCTCCAATTTTACCTTGAAAAAGTAAGATGAGTACTTTCAAATGCCAATAAATATCAAATAGTGTGAAGTGAAGAGTAAGCGTTTGGTTCTATATGGTTTGGTATGGGGCACTGGGGTTTGTTTGTGGTTCTTATAACTTTTAAGCAATTGCAATCCCAAAAAATAAGTGAAGTGCGCATACAACCCAGCAGGATGGGCATTGGGTGTGAAAGTACCCTATTTGATGTGGCATTATCCCTTAAAGTTGTGTGTGATAGATTCTCGTAATTCACATCAAATTCTCAATTCTTGAATCACCTGAACCATCTAAATCTTGGGCAAAACTATTTTGTCATCGTTGAATCTTGTGTGGGGAAAGATGAGGAAACTAATGGTGCTCTGAGTAGTGAATTGCATGGTAGTATGGCAGTTAATCTAGAGGAAACTAATTGATACAAGTCATTGCTGATTGTTGATTGGCTGAGAAGTGCGAATCAATCAAATGAAGGTCCTTGCTCATGAATCAATCAAGATGGAGAGAAAGGGAAAGTATTTCAATGAGAGGGAGAAGATGGAGGAGGGAGAGAGAGTAGCGAGGGGTTAGTGGCAGAGACTTGCTAGACTTTTATTGCAGCATGTGGCATGAGAGGGATGTGTGGTGGAGGGAGGTAGCAACGGAGGGAAAAGGAGGAGGCGGTGGAAGTGGGATGGCTATGGTGGCCGTCGGTGGTGGTAGTGGAGGTGATGGCCAGTGGTGCACCCAATTTGGTGGAGTGGTGGTCACTGGCCGTGGTGTATTTTTAGGGTGTTGAGGAGAGAGAAGAGCAAAGAGGAGGAGAAGAAACATGGAGAAGAAATGAGGAGAGATTGTGAGTGCTTCATAGTAATTTCACCACCACTATTTAACTCCGTTTGTGCCTTTATTAACAAAGGGGATGCCTCTGTAATCATACTAAAACTGTGGGTTAGCTGTATTTTTTCTAAAGCTTAGGGCAGGTCAGTGTAATTTACTCAAAAATAAGAAAGGATTAAGTTAAATATAGTATATTAGGTGAGCCATATCTAAAATGAATACCTATCCCCCTCAACGGGCAAATTATCAGAACCCACCTAATAGGATAATGGCCCAAAGGAGACTACACAGAGCATATGATGAGAACACCATTTGTGCTTACAAACCAAAAAAAGATTAGACAAAACTGAAACGTTGGGGGATCAAAATGACATGAAACACATGCTTCAGGGAGCAAAGTGTATTTTATTACCATTATGTTAAATGATTTAGAAGGTCCATAAAAAATGGAAGTAATTTGACTCAAATTGGAAACTTTAGAACAAAATTGATAAAATTGAAAGTTGGATGACCAAAGTGACATGAAGCGCATAATAAGGATCATAGATGTATTTTGTCCTTCATTTCTTTTGGTTTTATGCTTTGGGTATGCATACGAGTGAAATTAAATCAATATTTTAGGCTGTGTTTGGTTGTGATTTCAAATCACAATTCCACACCTTAATTCAAGCATGGTGTTTGGTTGTGATTCTCAAATGATGTTTTGAACTCTGCATAGAACACCTGCGTTGTTCTGTTTTTGACAGACGCATTTTTCCTTTTGTTGGGGAAAATCTTGCTTGGCGGGACGTCCGGCTGTCCAGAACAGTAATTTTTTTTTTTTTTTTTTGCAATTGATTTATATAATCGAAAAAAATATTTTCTGAAAATTTTAAATTTTTTTATGTGCTTTAAAATAATTTTGAGTTGTATGTTTAGTTATGAGTTGTAAATTTCTGTATCACATATCAAATGTCACATCAACAATTCCCCACTCAAATCAAAACTCTTTTCAAAACTATTTTCAAAACTCTTTACCAAACAAATTTTCTACACTCAAATCATAATTCCACTACACACAAACTCAAAATACAACTCATACTCTCAAATCATATTTACAAAACACAACCAAACGCAGGCTTAGTGTTTTTAGGATTTGACTTTTGTAATGCAAGAGATGCAGTCAATTATTATTTTGTCTTGGTTTTATGCTTCTGGGAATGCATTTAATTGAAATTAATGCATTTATATTACGTTATTATCATTGTGTAATTTATAGGTTTCCAGACACTTACCTGCTTGTTGGATGCTGCAATGACGAAGTGACACATAAGTACAAGGGCAAAACTGTCATGACTGACAAGGAGCGCTATGAATCTCTCCGCCACTGCAGGTTGGTTTCATGTAAATGCCTAAAAATTTAAATTTTCCTTTAGAAGTTACTTCTCTACGAAAAAGCAGTTCCTATAAACTGATAGCTCACTTTGACTGTTGGAAGAAGAACACTACTGAAATTCATGGGCTAATTGTAATGAACTGATTATTTTTTTGTAATTTAAGGTAGTCACCAGCCATGTTGTCAGGTAAGCCTTTGAGTTCAAGATTTTGTATGTTTAATATTTCTATATTTCGTTGACTATGTAGAACTTCTACATGTCACATGTTAGCTGAACCAATAAATTAGCCATTGTCATTAACGGTGCCTTATTGTTCATTTGATGCAGGTGGGTTGATGAAGTTGTTCCTGATGCACCATGGGTGATCAACCAAGAGTTTCTTGACAAACATCAAATTGACTATGTGGCACATGATTCTCTTCCGTAAGGTTAACCGACCCAAAACTACGCTTTTTTTGGTTTTTAATTACAATTTCCTTCCATTAGGGCCGTTGATCCAACAAGCTATAATTCATTCCAATTTAATTTGTTTGATATTATGTCATGAGGTTTGGGGCCTAGTTCCTCTATTCAAATATATCTGCAAAAGTATCTCACATTTTAATTTTATTTTTTTCCTTGAGAAAAAATTCTCCCTGGATTTTTTTTTTCCTGACACTTGGTACCCAAGCCCTCAAAACAAAAAGAACGTGCAAACGTTGGAAAAGATTTTGTTTATGGATGTTCATTCTTGGTAAGCCAAGAGTTTTTAAAGTGGAAAGTCTAATATGGTGGGTTATTTTTGTATGGATTGTAAAAAAAAGTTGCCCATAGTGTCATTTCTACTGTTCATAGCTCTAAAATGGATCTCTCTCTCTCTCTCTCTCTCTATTAGCATTTTAGAGGAGTCTGTTATTTTTGAGTCTTGATGGTCTAACTCTCGTAATTTTTCTTGCTGTCCTCAGTCCGAGTTGAATAATATGGTCATTTTCCTCTATGGTTCCCAGAAACCTAGTGTTCTTTATTGCGGTATATGCACGTCCATTGCTGTTATAAAAGTTGGCTTGTACTTGATTGTGTTAATTGTTTTTTGTTTACCCTAAATTTCAGCTATTCTGATGCAAGTGGGGCTGGCAAAGATGTTTACGAGTTTGTAAGTTCAAATTATAGTTCAATTTTTATCTGTTTTTATAGTTCAATTATACTTGTTCATTTTTATATGGCTTTACTATTCTTTATCCGTTAAGTTAATACTAAAAAAATAAAAATTATTGTTTATTTGGTTTTTCTGTCTCAGTTTCAAGGGTTTTTTATTTGTTAGTGCTAGGACTAGCATAGGTTGACAATTTCATGATTGTGTATGTGCAACCTGAGGTAGGAACCTAAATGACTACGTTGGAAGAACATGGGCAAGACTGGAAGCCTCGGAAAGCTAGACTCATGAGAGAAGTCAGGAAGAGCTTCACCGACATGAAGATGATTCTTAACAAGATTGAGTTCAAGAAGATCATGAAGAATGGACTTTTAGGTGCATTTGGTCAGCTTGGTTGACCATCGTTGGAGGTTGGTCGACTAAGCAGTAGAATAACTGGTGATCAATCACATAGGTTGGTCGCCTAGAGTAGGTCCAAATCAAGTTGTCATACTCACAATTTGGGCTGGCCAATCAAGATGACATCCAGAAAGTGGATTCCTTGCATCTACTGAGGCCCAGCCAAACATGGCTATATGCTGACCCAATGGATTTTAGAAAAACTTTGTCAACTAGCTGGGCCAACCCATTTAGGAAGTTGGGCTGGCCAAAATCTGGTTGTTTTGAAAAACTACCTGTTGGCAGGTTAACTAGATATACCAAATGGCCCCATTTGGTATTCTTTGATAAGAAACAAGGCAACTAAGAGCTATAGGGCTTATTTGGTCTGTTTAATTCATTATTATTTATTATTATTATTATTTTATTTTTATTTTTTTCAGGTCAAGGCTGTTGGAAAATTTAAGGAGACAAAACGGACTGACGGGATCTCTACATCAGATATAATAATGAGGATTGTCAAAGATTATAACCAGTATGTGTTGCGCAACTTAGACCGGGGATACTCAAGAAAGGAACTTGGTGTTAGCTATGTGAAGGCATGTCTTGTCATTACATAACAATCATTTATTCCTTTAAATCAATACATGTTTTTTTTTTACATGTTTTATTATTCAGCTGACTCCTTAACATATATCTTTCTTCTAGTCAGAGAACTGATTTTATCCACTATCATCGTATCAGGAAAAGCGGCTGAGAGTGAACATGGGACTGAAAAAGTTGCATGAGAAAGTGAAAAAACAGCAAGAAAAAGTGGAAGAAAAGGTATTTATGTTGTCCTGCTAATCTAATTATAAGCATGCATGTTATAATGTATACACATTGTTGGTTATGGATTCAACAAAATATGAAAGAGCTGTTGACCTTAGGGCAAGGAGTATATTCTTTGAATTCTTCTGTTTGTTTTCTCATTCCAGTAGGTGCGGATTTTATACCCTTCATTCCTTTCTTTTGGTAGGTGTTACATAACATATAGAAAAAGGTAGAGTGATTTTTTCTTTTGGAAATGTTTAGTAGAAAATTCAATTTAACATTCAAAAGTTGGAAAACCTGGGCACCGTAATAGATGGTTATCAGTAATGTATGCACCAAAATTTACACAATGGTGAATAGGCATGGACCAATCCACCTCTGCCGTATAAAATCCTTCACCGTAAGGGGCCAATGCTACCGGACAAGGCAAGAATAAGTGATCAATTCTTTCCTGATCCTTCTTACACATGATACACCACTGTGGATTTAAATAGAGATTTGGTCTCGTTTTCTGAATCGTATCATTTGGTATGAAGTTAGTGTTGTCAGATGAAGTATTCAGTTGTGTCAATTAGACTACAAGCAGTTTTTTACCCACCTTATCACAATGCTTATGCATGGAATTGATGATTTATTATTTCTTTTGCAATTTTCCAACGAAAATACTGTAAGATTTCTGAAAGCTTTTTTGTATATTCAATTGTGTTTCAATACAATGTGTACATCTGATATATATAGCAATTTTAGATCTAATCCTAAATAGGAAACAATAGATCTAATCCTAAATAGGAAACAATATTCACAGAAGAAACCTAAACTAATATTATTCTCACACCCCCATTCAAACTCAAGGTGTTTGGCAGAAAACACTGAGAGTTTGCCAAGAAGAAACTGAAACCGAGCAGTTGTGTAAGTCTTGGTAAAGAAGTTAGCAAGCTGCAGAGTCGAAGAGACGAAAGGAAGCAAGATAGAGGCAGACTGCAGATGCTGACGAACAAAGTGATAATCAATCTCAATGGGCTTGGTCTGCTCATGGAAGATAGTGTTATGTGCAATCTGAAGAGCACTGCGGTTGTCACAATAGAGGGAGGTCGGAGAAGATTGAGGGACGCCCAAGTCAGAGAGAAGACAAGCCAGACAACTTCAGTAGTAGCATGAGCTATAGCACGATACTTAGCTTCGGTAGTAGAATGAGCAACAACAGTTTGTTTCGAGCTTTTCCAAGAGATCAAGGAATCACCATGAAACATACAGACACCAAACGTGGGTTTGCAATCAGTAACATCACCACCCCAATCAGAATCAACATAGGCCACCAAATCCAGAGAGGAAGTAGAGGACAATAATAAACCCTGGAAGATAGTATCTCGGAGATAGCGAAGAATCCGAACCAAGGCAAGCCCAATGTGTGAAGCGAGGAGCAGAGACAAACTTGCTAACCACATGAACAGCATAGGTAAGATCAGGACGGGTAATCGTCAAATAGACTAAGCAACCCATGAGCTCTCAATATAGAGTAGGATCATCCAGAAGAACACCATCAATAGTGTTGAGCTTTACATTAAGCTCAATGGGGGTATCATAAATCTTAGTGTCAGTAAGACCGGCACGATGAATAACCTCATTGGCATACTTGGCCTGAGAGAGAAAGTAGCCCTTGGGAGAATAAGCGACCTCAATACCAAAAAAATACTGTAATGGGCCCAGATCTTTCATTTCAAAGTTGCGGACAATATGCTGCTTGACCTCAGATATAGTAGAAGAGTTAGAATCAGTGATGATCATATCATCCACATACAGTAATAACGCAACAAATCCAGCAAAGGTGTGGAGAATAAATAAAATAGAGTCTTGGGCACAATGACGAAACCCAAGCTCAGTAACAGCAGTCTGAAAGCGATCATACCAAGCACGAGAAGACTGCTTCAGACTGTATAGAGCACGCCGAAGGCGACAAACTTGTCCAGAGGAATAGTGAAGGCCAGGAGGAGGACGCATGTGAACCTCCTCAGTGAGATGGTCATTAAGAAAAGCATTCTTAACATCCATTTGATAAAGAGGCCAAGATCAAACAACAACGACAGAGATCAAAGTACGGACAATAGTCATCTTGACAACAGGAGCAAAGGTTTCCTCATAATCAATACCATACTCCTATGAGAAACCTTTGGCGACCAGACGAGGTTTGTAGCACTCAAGAGAACTATCAGAATAAGTCTTGACTTTGTAGACCCATTTGCAACCAACTAAATTCTTATCAGCAGGCAAATGAACCAACTTCCAAGTACTAGTTTTCTGTAAAGCATACAACTCATCCTCTATAGGTTGAACCCAATGAGGATCTTGATAGGCCTCCTTATAAGATTGAGGTTCTGAAAAAGAGTGAATAGCAAACAAAAAGTACGATAGGTAGCAGAAAAACATATATTAGACCAACCAAACCTGTTTGGAGGATGACGCGCTCGAGTAGGACATCGGTGTGCAGCAGGATCAGAGTCGTCAGAAGCAGAAGGATCAGTAGCAGGGCTAGAGACAACCGGTGGAGGAGGAGCCCTGCGATTAGAACAAACTAACAACGGAGGAGGAGAAGAAACCGAAAGAGGAGAAGCAGCTAGAGGTGAAGCAAGATGAGAAGATGGAACAAGCTTAGGAGGAACTGTGGAGATGTACTACTCATTAGACGGGACCTCAGAAGAAAACGAATTAATATGAACCAAATCTTCTTTGGAAACTGGGGCGGTGAGAGGAGGAAGCTGAAAGTATGGTAGACGTTTAAGAAAAGAAACATGACGGGAGACATAAAGACGACGGGAAATAGGGTCGTAACACCGATAGCCTTTCTGAGTAGGACTATAATCCCAAAAGACACAGAGGATAGACCGGACACTAAGTTTGGTCCTATCTTTGTGGGGAAAGAAGGATAAAACAGGCAAACCCAAACACACAAAGGAGGGAGTAGTTAGGAATTTGGGAGAACAAAGTTTCATAAGGAGACCGACTAGAAAGAATGGGAGTAGGCATGCTGTTGAGAAGAAAAGCAACAGTAAGAACTGCCTCCCCCCAGAATGGAGTCGGAATTGAGACAGAGAGAAGAAGAGATCTAGCTGTCTCAAGGAGATGATGATGTTTACGCTCGGCTCAACCATTTTGGGCAGGTGTATCTGTATAGGAAGTTTGGTGAATGGTATCCAAATTGGCCAAAATACTCACAGAACTCATTTTTAAAATATTCCCCACCCAAGTCAGATCGTAACACTTTAATTGTAGACTCAAACTGAGTAGTAATCATAGATTGAAAAGTACGATATATCTAATAGAAATCGGACTTATGAGTCATAAGATAAACCCAAGTGTAACGGATGCAGTCATCAACAAATGATACATGTATGCAAAATCTTCTTTGGTGAGAAAAGGAGAAAGGCCCCAAACATCAGTATAAACTAAAGAAGATGGTGCATCTGATATAGAAGTACTTTTACGAAAAGGTAAGGCTGTCATTTTGGCAAGTTTACACCCCGGACATTCAGTAAGTTCACTAGGAGAAACTTTACCTAATATACCTGACTGAGCTAAAGACCGTAAGCGATCAGTAGACAAATGCCCTAATCTAGAATGCCACAAGTAGAAAGGAGTGAACAGAGAATCTAATTGAAAAAATGAAAAAGCAGTTGGAAAAGTTGTCATAGGTAGATGCAAGCTCTCCATCACATAGAGGTCTCAAACTCTACGGCCAGTCTCAATTTGCTGCTTGGACATCCGATCTTGCACATAACAGATAGAAGAAGAAAAGATAATATCAAAATCAGAGGCATTAAGTTGACTGATAGATAATAAACTGACAGATAATTGAGGAACATAGTTGTCAAATCGAGATTCGTATCGTGAATCGAAATGGCCTCGTACCGAATCGCGAATCGAATCGAATCGAATCGTGAATCGTAAAGATTCGGTCACTTTTTCTAAATTACTTAAAAATATATATCTACACATTTAGATGTTAAATATATCTTATGAATATAAAATATTTAGACTTAAATCAACAAAATTGTTATTTTGAAAGATAATCACGTAATTTAATAGGTAAGAAGTTAACAAAGATTCCTATGTAAAATCACAATCTTACCTTTTTCTTTTTTTTTTAAATATTTTTTATTAACCATTCTTAATAAAGACAAAAGCCAAATAGACAAACTATTAATTTCTAAAGTAACAATAGTTAACAATGATATTGATATTTGGACAATAAGCATATATACTTTTCTAAGTAAGAGTGAGCAAATAATAAGAAAGGATTATTTAGGATATTTTATTTTAAAGCCTAAAACATTTTAAAAGGTATAACTGACCTCACATATGTAATATTCAATTTAATAAAATAATAATAGATAATTCATAGTATAACTTTAATCTTAAACATCTTTAGAAGATATATTACAATTTTTTGAAGGGGAAAAAATGAGAAGAAATGTTAAAAATATGTTAGGTCTGACTGAATCTGATTGGATCCTATAAAAAACTCCATGATCACTAAAATAATAACAAATCATATATAAATGTTGATTATTTTGGTATTAAATGTTATTAGAAGTTGTATTATGTCATTTTCACTAAAAAGATGGAAAAAATGAGTCGAAAATATGTCGAACACAATAATTTTAAAAATTGCATGAATCGTAAAAAGTGAATCAAATCGTGAATCGATTGTGAATCGTGCGATTCACTAGAGATTCACTTCCAAAATAGATTCACTCATAGATTCGTATCGATTTTGCAAAAATTGCGTATCGAATCGTGAATCGAATCGCGAATCGTAAGATTCTGATAACAGAGTTGAGGAACATAAAAGACAGATGGAATAGAGACAACAGACATAGCTGACGGTAAGACAGACTCAATAGATATAACAGACATACTAGACCTATTAGCAGTACTAATAATAATAGGTAAGGGAGGGGGAATACAATTTTGAAATAAGGAGAGATGAGGAGTTATATGATAAGAAGCACCTGTGTCAAAAAGCCAAACAGACGAAGAGATACCTAAAGAAGACCCAAGTAAACCTGAATGAAGAGAGGAAACAACCGAAGCAGACGGGGATGGTTGGGAGGTAGACAGTATGTATTGAAGTTGACTAATATGAGCCCTCAAGGAAGCCAAGTCAGGATCAGAAGTCGGAGCAAATGCAGTGGTACTGACGGAGGGACGAAAAGTACTCAGAGGAGGAGCTCGGGATTGGGTTTGAGACTGCTGAGAAGATGTGGTAGGCAGACGTCCCTTCTTAGGACAGTGGTACTTCCAATGGCCCCTCTGATGGCAGAAGGTACACTTATCAGAAGCCAGGGACATCATAATAATCAAGAGAACTGGAGGGTTTAATTGTAATAAACCAAGAACTGATGAGTCAAAACGTAATAATCCCAAACAATCACCAGATTACCACAATATAATACACATACTTGTACTGATGGGGTCAAAGTATAATAAGGACAAAACTTGGTGGACTAAGATTAGAGAACTAATACGAAGAGAGAGAGCTTTGTGATCAGAGACCAGAGCCGAAGAGATAGAGAGCTTCTTCGTCCACACCAACTACGAGACTGAGAACTTCGAACACTAGAGACTGAGACTGAAACCCCAAATTGGAACCTAGATGATGTCATGACTTTGCTGAGGCAGAGATAGATCACGAACTAGAAAATCAGAGAGTCAGAGACTTATGATCGCGGTCAAGCCTAGAGAGAGGGAGTCGCGATCAAAATCCGAAGTAGAAAAAGAGATGTCAGCTTCAAGCGAGTTCGACGGACCAGAAATCCCACATGCACAGTTTGATTATGAACCACGTAAGTCGATGACACTGACCAGATGAACCAGAACTTCGAACCAGGCGAAACAAGGAAGGGAACTCAATCAAGAAGAAGAATTCTTGAATCAAGCGGCTAGGGTTACGAACTCGGCTCTGATACCATGTAAGATTTTTGACAGCTTTTCTGTATATTCTGATGTGTTTCAATACAATGTGTACATATGATATATATAGCAATTTTAGACTTAATCCTAAATAGGAAACAATAGGCCTAATCTTAAATAGGAAACAATATTCCCAGAAGAAACCTAAACTAATATTATTCTCACAAATACGCCACTAAAGTGATAAAAATAACTCTTTTTGAGGTTTGCCTGGATTACATTTGTATGTTGGTATTTCATCGAGGGATTTTAAAGTTCATAATAATTGATTTATTGATTGGAAAATCAATCTGATAGGCGTGGTAAATGCAAGTAATTTTGTCAAGAATGGAGCTATATTGGTTATGCAACTTAACTTGACACCTTTGCCATCAAATTGGTACTTCTGCGGCATAAAGATTCTCACTTCGTATTTACTAGTTCATTAACAATGTGGCCTGAATAAGAAAAGATGAGCATTGCTTATCCAAAAAAAACGAAGGAAAAAAAAAAAAAGAAGAAGAAGAAGAAGAAAAGTTGGGGCATTGCTTTTAATTCAGTTAGAAAATATTTATTCAAATTTCTAAATGCCCCCTTTTTTTTGGCCCTTGGAGATGCAAATAAGTTGGATTCTAGCTATGCCTGAGCAAGAACCATGCTGCCGTAAAAGCAAAGTCAGGAAGTGTCCCAAAATTTATGAAAATTTCTCATAATTTTAGATACTACAACTTCACAATAAATCACTGACACAAGTAATACTATTGTTGGGCAACTTCACAGTAGATCCCCTTTTATTTTTGCATTAATAATAAACAAGACTTGTATTAGTTGTTTATGATACTGTCCAAGTTAGAGAGTTGCAAACATTACAAAAAGTTCTTATATAAGGACATGATGACACCGTCTTATTAGGAAAGACATTACCTTCACAGCAAGAGATATGGGGCTGAATCTCACCAATAATAAAATTATTCAAAAATCATAATATAATCTGTCTTGGCATTCATAAAATGGATCTAGAAACCCTATATAGAGTAAAATAATAAGAAAAAATTAAGTGGATTCCTTTATTTTAAAACCTAAAACATTGTTAAGGTGTGTATGTTTATTGTTTAAAGAAATTTAAAAAGAAAACAACAGTTGTGGAACCATTGGGGGTTTAACTAACCTGACCAGGGTTTTAAAAAGCGGCCGCAACCGTTACGTAACGCCGTTACGTAACGGTTTTGGTGGTTACCGCCACCTGTTATGGCCGCTTTTGCAGTGTGATTGAGATTCACAGGTGTGTCGGTCGTAGCGGCTGGCATAACGGTCGTAACGGTGCCGCAACAGTCTGTTACGCACTGTTACGTAACGGTTCCGAACTGTTTCTTTCGGAAAAACACACAAAAAAAAGGTTGAAAATAGGGGGAAGAGGAATAGAGAGAAGAGGAAACATAAAGAGAGAAGATGGAGAAGCAAAAGATAGAGAGAGAGAAGAGGAAAGATGAACATGTTACTGATTTATTGAAGTTGTAAGACCTATGATATTCTATTCAGCTGCTATCACTCAACCATTTTGTTTGTGTGCGTCTGTCTATATATTGTTTGAAAATAATAATAATAATAATAATAAGTGTAGTCATTATCTATTTGGCTTGGTTAAAATATGTATATATATAAATTTAGGCTCTTATTTATTCTCTTACTTTTGTCATTGTTTATCTTATATATAATAGTTAGTGATTGATTTTTTGTATAATATAAAGTCATTAATTATTAAAATAAAATGTAAAAAACTCAATTTATAGTGATTTAAAAATATGAAATATATTGGATCATACTTAAAAATTTACAAAAATTGATCAATATTTATTTTTAACCCAATAAATATGATCATGGAAAAAAAATATGCGTATCGGTAAGTTTTTTTCAAATTGTGCAAAAAATAAAAAAATTCACGGTTCCGGTTACCGCAACCGTTACACTACGGCCTTTACACCCCGCAACCGCAACCGCGTCACCGCCACCGTTACGGCGACCGCAACCGCTTTTCAGAACCTTGGGGGTGGGGGTTGCAAGGGTGGTAAGAGTTGGGGGTGGCAGGGGTTGGGGGGGTGGGTTGGCTTAGGGTTAGAGTTTGGGAGGTTGGGGATGAGGACAAAATTGGATTTGATGAGAGGGTGAAATTGTAATAAATAAATAAAAATGGTGCAAGAATAAGGTGGGGGCTGGTTCCCTTTGTTCACTCAAAAAAAAGTTGTCTTCCTGTTAGGAGTAAGTTACAACTGATGGCTTTTGGAGAATTCAATGAATGTGTTTCTCAACTTCAATATTGCAGATACAGGTAGTAGCAAAGCATCGTAATATATGGGTGGAGAATGCTGATCGCATGGTTGCTGGTTTCCTTGAAATGTTTGAAGAAGGTTGCCATAAAATGGTGAGCACCCTGTACCCAAACCACCAAAAAAGGGATGCACACATGCACAAAGTGGAGGATTCAGACTTCAGTGAATTGGTGACAGACCAATACACACAGTTAGCATAGTTGAGGTGATTACATTTTTAATTTTGATCATACATTTTGGGTTTTTATCAGGGAACAGCCATCAGAGACCAAATACAAGAGCGACTATTGACAAAGGCAAATATAAAAGGACTCGTATATGAGGAAGGTGATGAGGATGATGATGAGTACTATTATGTTGACAGCAGTGAAGAAGAGTATTATGATGAGGAAGATGAAGAATGAGCTTCTTCATTATGTTCATCCATGATTGGATGGGTATTCTTCTGGTTGTTCACTTTAAGGTTATAAGTATGCTTTCCAGTGTAGACAACTTTGCAGGTGTGCGAGTTTGCAAAACATAGATTGTTGTCAGAGTTGGAATTTTTTTGCGTACTTTTTTTGTTTGGTGTAAGAATGGAAGTTGGGCACGGTAACTTATGTCATCAGTACTGAAAAAACAAATTTACTTGAATCTACAGGATTAAAATGCAGGAATTTGCCCCTTTGTTAAATATGTGGTTTTTTATACTTCTGTTTTCCACTTCACTATAATTATGCAACTTGATGAGAGAACTCTTTTGATATGAAGTGTTTTTGTTAATATCTTGGTGTGTTCTACTAGTCTTGAGATTTTCTCCTGACTTTACTTATCATTGTGGAGGAAGTTCAGTTACTAGGCGAACTAAATACTTGGAGGGATAGTGATGAGGAATGGAAAGGAAATTGGTTGATGAAATAGGGTTAGGGCTATAATAATTAATTTTAGTTTTATTTTTTATTTGAGATATATTTTATTTTTTGTAACTTTATAATTAGGGTTTTTGGATGCCTATAAACAGTCCTTTTGTAATCTATTTGTTTAGCTTTGGAAGAACAATGTTGTGTTTAAAGCTGTGGCTGTTTGTGTTAAGATTGCGACCCTTGTTCTTTTCTTTGTACTCTCTATCTTCTTCTTGAAACTGTTTGTTCTTCTCTTTTGAAGCAATTCCCCATATATTCTAGTTTATGGATCAATTGAATAGTGAACAAATTTCTTAATAGCCGCTTGGTATCATATAGTTACAAAGCACTTGGCAGTTAGAGCTCACTAGAGTAGAGGCAAGATTGCCGATGTGAAATTACATGCTAAGATTACTGGATTTATTAGTTTTCCAAAGTGGGACACCGATGCTCATACCAATTTGAATTCCAGAGGTTTATGAAATCATGTGAGTGAGGAGCTTTTGCAAGGATTTCACTTTGTTGCATCGATATTGTTATTGGTGTCTTGTATTCTGCAGGACTCATATTTTTAGATTTTTACATATATTTAGAATGGGTCGGGTCGGGTTAGATTGTCTAAAACTTATTAGGGATTTTGATTTGTGAGGTTATCCTGAGTACTAGAACTTTTGGATTTGCCTGAAAATAGGAAGCTTATGGGAATTCTCGGCAAGATTGAGAGGATTTATAAAGATATAGACGAAATAGAAGAATTCAAGTTAGAGGGGAACCGGTGTGGCTTCAGGGCTCAAAGACACCAATAGTGAGCTAGTAGGTGGGTGGTTTGTTTCAGGGCTTAGTTACCACATAGGTGTTTATTTAAGGTTTTGTTATGCTCGAGTAGGGAAACGAGGACTTTTTCATGTTTTGGTTATTTCTGTTGAGTTTTTGTATTTTTGTTTATTTATTTGTGTCTTGTCTGTGTCGAATCTTGTAATTTTTATCTAGTTTGCCTCTTGTTACTATTCGTCTGTATTAGTATTGCCATTGGGTCATCCTTATCATTTGGTCATCAAATTTTTATCCAAAAATATAAATATTAGACATAATGATGATTATACTCATTTTTGACCTCGACGAGGAGTGTAAACCCTTTCCACTAACAACACTAGTTGCCCAAGTTGGGTGGTAGAGGCATGCTTAAATTGTAAAAGACATACTCATTCAAGATCACGAGTGACCAATAGAAATCTTTTGGACCATTGATTTTGATTTTGTTCCATGAAATTGATCTAATCCAATCAAAGTTTGTTCTTTTGTTTACTAAGAAAAGATTATTCCATTAGGTTGGCCCATTGCTTGGCTGATCTTTACCATTAAAGATTGCCCACTTGCCCAATATTGTTCCCCTTGAGTTCTCTCAAATTCAACTCATATACTGTGCTATGATTCCAACATTTCTTGTTGGATGTCAACCTCAATATAGGGCCAAGAAATGGTTACTTATTACCCTAGGTGACTTGGAACTCTCATAGTTTTGAGCTTTGGAGGATACATGTAAGTAGGTTACATATGATAATTTAAATTATGAATGTGATTAATATTTTTGTGAATTTAAGGTTTTAACTTTGTGTGAAATTAATGTTCTCTGTATTTATTCGACTGTCTGTAGGGACAGAAGAAAGATTTGTTGCTCTTCAACAATTTTTTATCTCTAGTGGACCTTTCAATAGGATTTTCAACTCAAATGAAATTTTGTTCATTTGTCAGAGAAAAAAGAACTAATGGCCCTTGTAGTATTTCCACTTAGTTCTTTGATTTCTTTGGAAGTAGGTGATTTGCATTTCTCTAATTTTTAGCCTGCATAGAATTGATTGAATTATGATTGTTTTTCAGGATACTTTTATTTTAATTCTCACTACATCATATACTTGGGAATGTATTGAGTACAAGAGAATATGAATTTTGAGTACAACAATCCATAGCCTTCTTTATTTACATAGTCAAATATCGGAATCTTGATTTATTTATTGGCTACCGGAATCTTGATTTTTGAATGTCCAACTTGTTCATATATATGAAGTTAATGTCCAAATCTAAAAAAATCTAGATGTAAAACAAATGCTCGGTTTACACGTGTTCATTTTTATTTTATGTTTTTAAAATTAGATTTTATTCCTTGATCAAATTATCCTTTTGGACAATTTAAAAAAATGCAATTTCTCTATACATACACATCCACCTTTGCTAACCACCCTGCATTGCGAACCCCCGTGAACCTTAACACTGCCTCAAATCCCCTTCCCTCTCAAGCCCCCATCACCACAATCCTTCCTTTACAAACATCCTCACCACCCTCAAACAACTTCTTTCCCCTCTCTCTCTAAGCAGCAGAGCCAACCATGGGGGGAAGGGTTGGGTTGGGTTGGTTGTGGTGGTTGGGGAAATGTGAGGGTGAGGATATGATAGGACAGAGGGTGGGGAAGTGGTTGGTAGGGGAGGTCAATGATGGTTGATTGACGGTAGTTAATAGGTTCTTTTTTTTTGTTTTTTGGATCGGCAAAAAAGTAATATTTTATAGTTCGAAGGTTGAAGATGGGGATATTTTTGACAAGGTGAGTTGTGTATTGAGCAAAATAACAAATTTGAAATTCAATGCCTGAACTTTGAGAGATGTGTAGAAATAGAAGCTCATAAAATTTAGTGCAAGACTTAGAGAAAAATTTAAAAATCTCACCACGTTTGTTTTCAGTTTTTTAAAAATATTTTTTAAAAAATTCTACTTTCTTATTTTTCTTTTTTTTTTTTTATTTTTACTGAATTTTTTAATATTTTAAGTAATTTTTTAATTTTTAGACACACCTAATATAAATATACTTAAAAATTATAATTTTCATGAATTTTTTTTTCAAAAATTCACTAAATACCAAAAATATAAAAAAATGCGAAAATTCAATATATTTTTCTATTTTTGTGTATTTATTAATTTTTAAAGTATTTTTTTTAAATATTTTACTTTTTGATACATCTAAGTAAGGTGCATCAAAAAAAAGTTAAAAAAAATATTTAAAATTTTAAAAATATTCACTAAAAATAAAAAATATAATTTTTAGAAAATGAATTCAGAAAATTGAAATCAAATGCACCAACTTGCAACTTACAAATCCGAGGAGTTATGCTTCTCTCTAGTTGGTGATTCAACTGAGGGTTATCGGGACTTGGTGGCTTACATGGGCTTACCTTGATGATCAGAACTATTCATCTTATGAGATCTTTAAGAATATCATCTATGCAAAAGTCAAATTGATTAGATCGCATTTACATTACAAAAATAAATAGAATATCAAAATCATACTTGACATCTAACTTTGTAAAACAAACATAATCCAATCATGTAGTTATCAGATCTACTAACTTTATTTTTTTTTTTTGCAAGAATGATCTAATTGAACAATCCTATAAAGATGAATAGTTTAAACCATTAAAATTAACCTGATAACAACCCACAAGCCCAAACAGCACTTCTCTAGTTGGATAGTCTTTTGGGAGAAGCCATTCCAAAACTAAACTATTGCGATAAATACAGGTTCACGAGAGCAAGAATCATTTGTGCTACTCTGTTCCATTCTCTGTCTCATATTCATCTCATATTGTCCCATCACTAAAATCAAAGCTCAAAGAATATAGAACAGAAGATGGAACAGAGAGAGCTACAGGGATGATCCCACGAGCGGTTCATGAAGCTGTGACAATCTCCAAACATGGCACACACTTGTTGGACTTGAGTTGGTGCCTGCAAGTAGGGCAAGAGGAGTGAGAGAGAAGCCATTCATCAATGCAACCCACATGGAACCTATGCTCACATTTTGGCAACACTCTTATCTCATCTCCCTCACAAAAGTCTCCCAAACAAATGGCACAACTTGAAGAAACTGAGGTTGATGTTGGTGGAGATGAGCTTGATTTGGCATAGGTTGAAGTTGGAAGAGCCACCATGTCTTTCTTCTTGAGGCCTGAGTTCAGCCGGCGTGAGGCAGCCCACTCGACAGGCTCGGTTAGCGCGCGTTGCGTGCACTGGAAGATGCAGTGGAGGGTGGAGTTGAGGCCTAAGGCACAGAGGAAGGCACAAAGCATGGCTGCAATGATCACTGCAATGTTGTTGAATCCAAGGTTTTTGGATCAAGAGGTGATTGGTCAAGACATGATGGTGTGGTGAGGATGGGAGTGTATGTGGGAGGAGGAGGTAGGGGTGGTTCAGCCATGGATGGGAGAGTGAAGATGGGGCGAGAAGAATGGAAAGTAAGTGAGGAGAAAAGACTGTGTAATAATGCTATATGTTCAAAAAAAAAAAAAAAAAAAAAAGATTTTTTTTTTTTTTAATATATAGAATGAAATGTATGAACTAATATTAATATTTAGTGTGACTTGTATCATATAAGATTTAAATTTAAGTGTACCGTTTATCATTTTTTTATGAATGGAAATGCTACACACGGATTTTTTATCCAAAAAAAACTATATTGAATGGTTAATAATGGGATTTGTATAGACATTAGACACGTGGAGCACTAATGCTACCGAATAAGAAAAAGTAGTTAATAGTCTCAAAAAAAATTGTATAAACTAAATTTTAGTTTTTGAATGTGATAAGTACTATATGATGTCTGGAAAAGTTATTCAATAGAATATTCTTAGAGTATCATTGTGTTATGTGTATATGTATGATATTTTTAACTAATATAAGATCGTATAAAAAAGATGGACAGGATATCTTATCTTTTATCCCGACCAATTAAAGTGATTGAGATCAACTTTAGTTCTAAATTACTAATGTTATTTTTATTAATTCGATAATACTATATTAACATATTGAATTGAATTAATAATTACTTTAATGTCTGAATCTATATGATAGGCTTTATATTATGAACACTTTATTTATTTATTTATTTATTTCTCAGTTTTGCAAAGTGGAGAGAAGGAAAGCACACATGGTCCAGCTAGAGGGACATGAGGCAAGGCGAGACTCAAGGCGTCTTTTGGGAAGTGATTTATAATTAACTTCTCAATTTATAATCCATTTCTTTCTTTTATAAAATGCTAATTATAATTAATTTTTAACTAAAAAATTGATTATAATTATCTTTTCAAAATACTCCAAAATGAAGGATGGTGGACAACTTGGTGGGAAAATGGTGGCCTTAGGATAATGCTTATTTGATAATCCACTGTCCCTCCTTTTCTTTGTGCTCCCAAAAGAAAGAGAAAGGAATCTCTCTCTCTCTCTCTCTCTCTCTCTGGGGAGAAAAAGCTCTGCAGTCAAGTCACTTTTATGAATACCTGTTGTGACATGGATTTTCATAAGATTCATCAGATCATCACGCTACAAAAAATGTTAAAAAAAAGGAAAATCTAAGTAATTAGTGCATCCTTTCTCCATTTTATATAATTATTTGAGTAATTCTATTAATTCAAAAAATTATTTCAATTTTTTTTTCAAGATTGTGTAGTAGAAATTGAATTTGTAGAATATAGGCTCCACATATAAAATAAATTTGAACCATAAATTAATTTTTATGAGTGAAATTCTAAGTAAATTTAGGTGTGAATAGTGTTGTATTTGTTTTTTGGGCAAAATTTACTATCTTGTTTTTTTGGCGTGATTTGGGCATTTACACTTCACCTATTCGCTTCAATGAAAGGCAAAGCGACCCTCCTACTTTTGCACTAAAATGTAATACTATTGACATTGTTAATGACAATTATTAAATAACCATACTACCTTTAATTTTTTTTTACTCTTATTATATACTGTTAATATTCTTTCTTGTTAATCAAATATTAACTTCAATTAAATTTAAATTTAAGTTAAATACTAAAATAATTTGTAATTTAATTTTTATAATAATGTTTATAATTAGATTTAGGGTTTGGATCAAAAGATGGAGAAAGGGCAATTTTTTTTTTCTTTTTGTTTTAAAATTTGACTTTTGATTCAGTTGGATGGCACATGTTGACCACTTTCTATTAGTTTGGATGGATTTCTTAAACTGAATGGGATAAGTGTTAAACAATCAAAATCAGAGGAACTCTAGACCTATTTTAAAGTATATTTTAGTTGGTTATTTAATTT